CGCTCCGGCGCCGCCCGGCAGCACAGGCACAGCAGCACAGCGGGCAGCAGCAGCGCTCGCCCGCCGGCCGGCCCGCGCCTCTGCCTCCGCCCGCCCGCCATTGTCGCCAGCGCCGGCTCTCGGCGCTCGGACGGCTCCTGCCGCTGCCCTGCCTGCCTTGCAGCCGCTCCAAGCAGCGAGCGCAGGGGCTGCCGCCACCTCCTCGGACGCCGCCGCTGCCGCTCTGGCCGCCTCTCGCCTCTGCTGCCCGTGCCGCTGCCGCTCTGGCCGCCACTGGCCGGGCGAGCGAGCAGCCTGCGGGGGCAGGACGCTGCGGCGGCGGCGGCTGCGGCTCCAGCGCCGCTCGGCGGCGGCCAACAGCGACACCCGGAGGCGCCGCCACAGCACTGCAGCCGCCTTTGGGCCGCGCCCGCGGGGGTCTCGCCCGGGGCCGCGCAGGCACCTCCCGGGAGTCGCCGCCATCGGTTACCCAGAAGAGGGATTCGTTGTTCAGTTTGACGAGTTTTCTTATACCTGCGGAACGTGGAACCGAGTAGCTCTGTTCAGAAGTGAAAATTTGGAGTCTGGCTGGGGAACATGCTACCAAGCAGAGGAGGATCACGCAGAATTCGGAGAGGGGAGAACAGGTGAATACAGGTAAGTAGAGGCAGGTCCACTGTACAACAAATGCCTTTCAGATTCCAATCCCTTCTATTATTCGTTGGGCTGTCTTTACCCAGCTCTTTTATTTCATTTCTACCATCTCTGTGAAGCAACATCTACAAAATGCTTCGGAAGAGGAGCCGTTGTAGAATGGAAGCACTAGAACCAGTATTTCCTTTCAGGAGATTCTCGTTTGTATTCTTTTTATTTTATATCCCTCTCAGAGTGACTGAGATGGTGGAAAACCGGCAAATCTTATTCTTCAGAACAGCATTATCAGTACCTGCTCCCACTTTTACGAATCAAGAGGATTACCACAATTTACTGCTCTAGAATTGGGTAAAATGACTTGCTAAAACATTTCTTCAGAAAGGTTTTTCAGTGAATGGGGTAAGTAAGAAGATCTAACCACGGACGGACAGCAAAAAGGTATCCATGCACCCAGGATTCCAGGGTGCTACTCTCAGAACTGTCGAGGAGACTTATTACTCCTCTGTGGTGGTGGCCGAGGCGTACATGACTTGTCAGCTACCTCTCCCAGGACAGAAACTCTGAGGAAAAAAGACGACAAAAAAAGCGGCAAGAAGGAATTTCAGAAGGGCAAAACTACAGAAGGCAGATTACCCGCAGCACAAATGCGCTGACGTGTAATTTGCATTAATAAAACACTGAATCCTCCCGGTATGGGATACTCTGAAAATAGAAATGATAAAACACTTGAGAGCAACGCCTATAAAAAAGTACTTGATCCTCCTCGGTGCCTGCTTGTACTGACCCCATCTCTCAGCAACAATCAGAGCAAATCTTGGAATACGAGACTCCACGCAAATCAATAACTCTTAATTCTGTGACTGTGGACAGAGCAGGGCACGTTATGACCACCTGAATCATTTCAAGCGCTACACAGACCAGAAGCTGAAAAACTACGGGTACGGCAGGTTTTCCCAACACTCCTATTGCTCAAGAGATAGTTCCATGGATAACCACTGGACTCACTCACAGCGTTCTGGTGACGACTCAGTTCCCAGTTATGCCGCCTTTGCCGCTGCCTCGAAAGTAACAAAGATACAGACTACAGGACTCCGTTTCTTTTTCAAAAGCTCCTTATGCTGTAGCAGTTATTAGCAAAAGATAACTCGGCCACAACGTCGGTGTGAGAGCAGGCTCTTCCTCCCAACAAGAAGTAGCCACACTCTTATTTCAGCTGGAGACACACAAACAAGAGGAACACCTCTCCGTACTGAGAAGGTATTTCTGCAGAAACTCGCATTTTGTCAGCGTTTGTTGCATTGCATCACTTAGACACCACTTTCATGCATTTCAAATAATTAACATTAGATGAAAACTCCGTATTGTGAGACAATAGTGATAAATAAAGCAAAGAACTTTTAGGTTTTTTAAAAAACTTCAGCTAAGCCGTTCATGAATAAAACACCCGTATATGTTTAAAAGTTCAATCGTGAATAATTCTGTAAGCAAGAAATGAACATTTTATGGGCATTAGGCACATTAGAACATACTGTCACTAAAGCCTTGGCTACAGCACTACCTATAACTACATCTCTCTAAACCTGTAACCACATCTCTGAAAAAGACACAACAGTGAAGAGTAAATCAGACGAAAAGTGCCCACAGGACTTTAACAATCCGTCGGAAATTAATCTTTGTTTGGCAGAAGGAGCTTCTCGTATACAAGGTCATTCTCACTAAATCCATCCAAGACTGTGGATGTGCTCACCGACTGATAAGGAACACAAAAGGAGAAAACAGCCTTTCTAACCACTAACGCCACTAAGAATGTTTGCTACTCTCTTCTTCATACGCAGTTTGCACTGGTTTTAAACGCTTGGCTTCTAAAGAATGAGAGCTGCTACACGAGAGAGAACGATACCAAATGAGATTTAAAGTGACATAAAGAGCACAAGTGAAAAACCCTTATCAGCAAGTGTATCTTGACATTTCTTGCAGGGCTGTGTCATCTGTTACACACCTCAGCAGAAACCACAACAATAAGACTCTACCTTCTTTCACAGCACCCTTAGTTGGAAGGCCTAAAAAGAAGCTTATAGTCACCAAGCAGAATTCAGTCTGGGAAGATTCAGTTCTTGGACTCCACCTTTGGAAGAGCACAGAAATGGCTCACTGTCAAGGTGACAAACGAGTACGTACACAAGTATTTTGAAATGAACACTTAGCAACAAGCAATTTCACTCCTCTTCCACCATCTCTTTTTAATCCTGAGTGTGGAGCTCGCTTATGACCCAACCAAAGAAATTCCCTCAACTGATCTCGCAAGAACACCTGGGAATGGTCTCCTGGTTGAGGAAGGGCGTGGTTTCCAATGCTGAAATCACACAGTTCATTCTGCTACAAAAAACTGCCACTGCTGTCACTACTGGTTGAGGAAGAGGCTGTATGAGGAACTTTCACACAGGAAAAATGTAAAAGACCCGACACCAAGGAGGCAAAGGCGGCTCCAGGCTAATTTCCAACAATGGCTTACATTCATCCTAAATACTATTAAAGGAAAAGGGTTTGTAATACGGGGAGAGTGATAAAGCGAAACAAAGACGAATTTGAGAAAAGTGTTGCTGTTCAAAACCCAGACTACTGCATAGTTCATACTCGATTTTCAATGATAATAAATAATATACAGTATAAGATCAGGCGGGAGTATGCCCTCGAGCAGATAATGATGTGTGGAGAGAAAAAACCGAACAAACCAAACCAACCAAACAAACAACAAAAAAATCCCCAAAACTCAACCCCCCCCCCAAAAAAACTTCAATGAAATACAATAACATGGCGTTGAAAAGGTTAAAATATTATCCCGATACAGAAGTTTAGACACAGGGACAGAAATGTTCCCTTTCTCACCCTACTCAGGGACATGTGCTATCGGAAACACACCTAACACTGCTAACAACGCAAAACTGCATTTCCTTAAAGGGTAATATAGCACTTCAGCAGACCTAATACTGACAGGAAAAGTGGAATGAAGAATGTCGAGGACAAAACGAGATACGACCTGATAAAAACAGAAAGAAGGGTAGACTAAAGCTCCAACAAGAAGAACCGCATTTGTCCTGCAACGCCCACCAACCACAAGACTGGAAACAAACACCACGTCCATCTCACCACAGCAAGTGGCACCAGCCCAGAGCACGTCACTGAACAAGGCTTTGCCTTTCTTGTTAAAATTTACCCCACTCAGGACACAGACGCCGAGGCAGAAAGGACAGGGGAGCAGCTGAAGGAAGAGTCGCAGACACAGTCCGGCATGAGGAACTCACCGGGGGAGGGGCCGGGTCGGTGGGACGGTCACCGGCAGGTTCCTCCTCTCCGAGCAGCGGGGCGGGCTCGTCGGGCGGCGGGCGGGCCGGGAGGGTGTCGCAGCAGCTGGCGGCCGAGAAGCGCAGGTGGCTCTTGCGCGAGTCGGCCGTGAGAGACACGTCGTGCGAGTAGGAGTGCAGGAAGGCGCGGACGCCGTCGATGCCCACGAA